ATGCTTTGCATTAAGTACTTTGGCTTTTTTCTGACCTTGTCTGCTGGTTGGTGAAGAATGGGCAGCTTCTCCTCCATCTTATCCAGACCTTTCAAGGCATACTGGTTTACTGTGGCAACTGACACAAACAGAATATTTTCCTTTGAATAAAAATATAACAAGTATCCTCAGCTAAATTTGTGCAAAGCAGGCAACAACCAAAACAGTCATTAAACAGCTTCATGTTTACTGTACAGCAGGAGCTGAGAGGGCTTTAATGATTTCTGTGAAACTCAGAGTAAACATTCTGCTTTCAGAAGAAGAGACCTATTTTTAGTGTTATGTTGTATTCTAGCCGCATAGTAACAAGTGGACCTGACATTCATTTATAGTTACTTCAAATGCTGTTGTTGCACATATATTACATCATATTTTTCACCGGGGGGAAGAACTCACGTTGTGGTTCTATAATGTCCAGGAGAGGCTTGGACCCGGTGGTGGCAGCTGCTCCCAAGGTTCGGGCCCCACTCTCTGCTGCATCCATCACCCCCTTCAGCAAGGGCACGTTGTCTTTGGTGCTTGTGTAGGCGCTGGAAACCACCTCGCAAGCTGAACTGACCAGTGTCAAGTTGCTCACTCTGGAAACAACATTCTAGGAGAAATAATATCAGAACCACCACTGCTGCCATTGAAAAGACTTGTGAAATACACAATACTCCCTCTTTTAATTATCACATATCAATATCATCACTTCAGTACAGTCTAAATTCGCAGTTAGGGATAATGAGTGATTCCCTACGGTAGCTCATCAAAGTGGAGTGTGTCAAATGGGTTCATAATAAGCCTAAGTTTTGTAATGGGTGTCATTCTGGGTCACAGTGCTCCTCACCTGCTGGTCTCCATTAGCTGCTTCTGCTGCTGCAGCTCCACTCTCATTAGTTTTCCCACTGTCTGCCATTGTGACTGCTGGATTCAATCTCTGAAAGAATATGGACAGTCAGAATCAGAGAGTCACCTCACGTTGCTTCATATGCACGACACGCGTTCTCCTCTCTGAGATTCTTTGTTTAAGTGAAATTGAAATCGCTGTCAGACAGTGTAATAGAAGCAGAGAGGCAATGCAGCCATGTTAAATGTATTTATCAACACTATGATGCAACGAGGAAGAAACTGCACAAAAGATAAAATGGTGCAGCCATGCAAACAATTCAAGTCTCTGTGTTTTGAGATAATGATAACATTTAGAGTGTTAATTTTTTGTCTTCTTTCCCAGAGCTGTATTTTTGCAACTATTATTGCATCCTGAAGTAAAGAGAGAGGAGACGGTGGACACAATCTAGGATTTACCATGAAGACGTTACATGCTTTTTTAGTAATGTGTGGCTGTATAAGATGAAACAGAAATTAATCAAACAATAGTGGCACCTCACACACGCACATACACACTGGTTGTGCAATGTAATTCTATATATAAGTGTTATTTTTGTCCCTTATTATGATTATCATTTACTTTATTGACCAATTAAACATTTAGAAAATAGTCCACAACCTAAATATACTAACTTCACTGTCATAGGAGCATGACATATTTACATTTCAGAAGCAGAACCTTTGCTAAAGTGACTTTAATGGTTAGTTGATGATCAAAATAATTTGTGGTCATTCAGCTAAATTGCTTTTGATGTATATTGTTAAACGTATATATAGTCTGTTCTACAGTGACATAAATACCTCACAGATAAAATATAGGATTATATAAGCT